CCTATAAACCCTAAACCCGAAACAAAAGAAGCCCCCAGCCCCCAAGTCCCCGAACTCCTCAGCCCCAGAATCCTGCAGCCTCAGCCTCCGCAATTAGCCAAAACCCCCGAAACCCTGAACCGAAACTCTTATGATGTAGGGGCCTTATATAGGGTTTGGGGGTCTATTACACTATAATTATAATAGGTAGTAAGCAATCCTAAGGCTTAATATCGGTAACGGTTTAGGCTTCCATAGTAGTCACTTCCCCTTTTTAATTGAACACCCCTCTACTGATTAAAAATACATTGGGGCGAATCCGCCCGAAATCATCCCTGTCATTAGGGCAGATGGGTTCAGTGCTCCAATTACCCTTAGAACGCAGCAAGAGCAAGGGCAAGAGCACGAGCAGGAGTTAGAGTTAGAGCCAGAGCAGGAGCAACAGCAAAAGCGGGAGCATCAGCAAGAGCAAAAAGCAAAAGCAAAGCAAAAGCAAGAGCGGTAGTAAGAGCAAGAGCAGGATCAGAAGCAGGAGCAACAGCAAGAGCAGGAGCAGGCGCAAGAGACGCAGCAGAAACAGGAGCAAAAGCCAGCGCGGGAGCAGAAGCCAGAGCAGGAGCAAGAGCACGACTCCTCAAAAGTGGCAGTAGAGATAAACATACCCCCTAATAATGAAAATGCTGTTTATTGGGGCTGGGGAGGGGGGGGCCCCCCGGTATCATATTAGGGGAAACGATTTGTAATCTTTTGGAACCCTCTACATAAAGGAATCCTTTATAGAAGCTTTTACAGGAACGCCATATATGGGTGGTTGTCAAAATTATGGTCCCTTTTGGGGTACCCTAAATAATAGGTGCCGTATTATAATGAGGACCCAAAAAGGGACCATAATGTCGACAACCACCCATATAGAACCCGTATTCCGAACACGGGGAGGTCGAGCTCTTGCAGATGAACCTCCCCCTGCCGGTGGATCTTCAGCTGATCGAAAGCTCTCTGAAAGCCGAGCCCCTGGCTGAAGGTACCGGAGCTCAGGGCTTTCTGAATACAGTAGGGTTTAGGGCTAGGGTTTAGGGTTTAGGGTTTAGGGTTTAGGGTTTAGGGTAGAAGCCAGAAAGTTGGAACATGACTATCCTGGTACCCTCAAGGTACTTTGTAAGGGATCCTAGCATTAATCATTTTAAATCCATGTTCCAACTTGCTGGGGTTGGCTGTAGGGTTTGATAGGGTAGCAGTTGGGGTATTCCGGTTTCGTGCGGCTTTAGGTTTTAACGGTGTTTGATAAGGGTTTTGACAGGGTTGACAAGAGGGTTGCGATAGGGATTTGATCGTGCTTTGTGCGGCTACCCTAAACCCTAGGCCCTAAGGCCTAAACCCTATAAACCCTAAACCCTAAACCTTAAGCCCTAAACCCTAAACCCAAACCCTAAACCCTGAACCCCTAAACCCTCAACCCTCAACCCTCAACCCTCAACCCAAGAGCGTAAGGGCCTTATTACGAGTGGGAGAGCCTTTCTTACGTCGAATTGGGGTTTGCAGGCTTTTGCTTGTGAAGATACGAATGGGGTGTTGGGGGTTCCTTTAAAGGGTTCCTTAAAGGGTTCCATGAGGGCAACTATAAGGGTTTAGTGTGTCGGGGCCTGAAAAATCTGAATAGGGTTGTGAGGCCCATTATACTACAATTATAATAAGGAACCCACCCAAAAATAGTATTCTAATTATTAAGGCCCCTACAATAGGTTCGAGCATGCTGCGTTTTGGATTCGGGCCATATAAAGGTTATGATGCGATTCCGGTTCGAATCTGCAAACGTTCAACCGCAAACCCAGGTGTCTACAAACCCTATGAGTCCTATAAGCCCTAAACTCGAACCCTAAACTCTAAACCGTATAGCAAGTTGCGTTTTACAGGAGCGCTCCTTGAGAAACGGAGCTTGGAAACCTCCGATGGCCCCTTATATAACCCAACACAGTATGCCTCCCTTTTCAATTGGGACCCGTCCCTCAAGGGGAGTATTGATAGTGAAGTAGCACTTAATGAGTTTTCCTATTCCGAACATCCACCTGCCAACAGGCGAACTTTGGGACGCGCCTGAGGAGTTTGTCTGGATCTCGGCCATGTTTCCATGCGGTCTACATTGGAGCCACTTTAATTCCTACACCTTTGAAACCCTCTTTGAAGTGTTTGATTACGTGCCATGACTTCGGGCTTTACAGTTTAGGGTGCAGAATTATGGCATCACGTGGTTTCGGGACCCGGGTTAAAGGATTAGACTCCGTTCAGGGGCAGTCAGAGACAATTAGTTGTTTTTAGACTGGTCTCTGGGTAGCTAAGTGGGCATGAGACGAACTTGCAAGTGATGAATCAAATATTGGCTCGACGAAGGAATACGCCCCCTGTCATCGCTTCGGACTCCTTTCAATACTGACTCTTCGACATTCGAATACCCAGAGGGTCCATATACACTACCGTTATGGCATTAGGTCCCAAAAGGCCATTTCTATTATGGTTTCGGGGACCTGATTCCATAATAGTAGTATACATCTACCCGCTTGGATATTTGCTCTGATGCTCCGAACACCAAGACCCGAAAGTGCCTGTACCAACACGCCCCTGGTTTGCTTCGAAGAACCTACACGATCAGCTGCCGAAAGCTTCAGGGTACTTAGTAAGCATGCATATCCAGCGAGGGCTTGAATAGCAGTTGCCGTGATAAGAAGATTCCCGCCTCTTACCTTATAGGATTCTATATCTGAACCCCAGAAGGGAACGACTTTAGGCCCTATGGGTAAGTCCTCCTTGAAGATCTAGGTTAGTGTGAGGTTGGGCTCGGCCTGCAGAAGGCTTAGAAGTTGCTGCTCGGTTTCCCAGGTCACTTCGCGATTCTTTGGCCCCATGGGCTTTCCCCGGCAAACTGCAGGTTGAACGTGTTGCAAGAGGAGAACCAAGACCGCGTTCTGCGTGTGCAGACATGGTGCAGATGTTGGAGCACCAGTGCTGATGGTCCGCTGACCTTTCGCTCCGGACACAGCACTTGTGGGTTTGACACAAGATGCTTATTGAATGCATTGGAACTGCCACGTGGGTCAAGGACAGCATTGGTACCCAGGTTATTCCAGCTTTGGCTTTTGGTGCCTGTAACAGAAAGATGAACAAGAAGATCATTGTGTTGGAGGCCTGTAACAGCGAGATGATCAAGAATATCACTGTGCTGGAGGCACAAATGCGGCAAGAGCGAAGGCAACTACATACGGAAAGAAAGGCGCGGCCATTCTCGCTCTGTTGCTGTCAAGCAGCCCGGAAGACGCCGCACCGATTTTTGTGGCCTCCTTCGGTCCTGCGGCGGCTCTTAACACCACAAGTCAGGCAGCCCTACAAGAACTCCGACACTCTAAGACTTTGCAAACGCCCTTTGAACCCAACCCGCTCACAAGAAGTATCTCCTTATGTATAAGGGCTTGGAGGGTTCCTTCAGACGATTCAAGGTGCACGGGGCAAAGTAGCCTTGCGAGCCAGGAAGCGTGCGTGAGTGATTGAAAATTAGATTTTCAAATTTGGGATTTTAAACTACCAAAGGTACTCTCTAAGAACCCCCCTTAAGGGATCTGCTTTTTGGATCCTCCCAGGCGCCTGGTATACCCTAAACTTCAAAACCCTAAACCCTAAAACCATAAAACCTTAAAGCCCTCACACTTTAAAACTCGAAAACCTAATTGCCGGTAGGAGCAAAAGAGTTTGCATTGCGACAGCGGCTCTCAGCCCACCCAAGTCCTACACCCTGCGCCCTGGTTTAGGGTTTAGGGTTTAGGGGTTTAGTGTTTTGGGTTTAGGGGTTGAGGGTTTAGGGGTTCAGGGTTTATAAAGGGGTTTGAGGTTTAGGGTTTAGGGGTGTAGGGTTTAGGGGTTTACGGGTTGAGGGTTTAGGGTTTAGGGGTTCGCGGGTTGAGTGTTCGGGGTTTTGAGTGAAACCCCACACCCGAGGGGATCTCAAGCCCGAATACGGGCAAATACCCTGCAAATGTGTAGTGGGGGCGTGGGCAGGGTTATGGCCTGCATGTTGTAGGCTTCGAAATTAAAAACCGCGAAACCGATGCAAGAAGTATCCCCCTAGGTATCCGAAGCAGAGCGCTTCTGCTCCTTCGTAGTACAGGGCTAAACCGCTATTCTCGAGTTCGGGATAAGTTTCAATCAGACACATCCCTTGTTACGGGGTTTTCTATGATTTATTGTGGTATAATATATTATCATAATAACACAGCCGCGAAGCCTTATTCTATGTACTAAGGCGCCTATAACCCTGTCACAATCCTATACCGAACCCTGAATTAAACAATGCAGCACGTAAGGGCCCACAAAGCCCTAAACCCTAAAGCGAGACCCTTAAGCCCAAACCCAAACCTTTTATAAGCCCAAAAACCTAGGGGCCTAAGTAATTGCGTATACTATTTTGGGCGGTTCTTTTGAAGACTCTTTGGATGCTCGAGGTTCTGGCCCTTTCGTCTATCCCGCTGTATGCACTGCGCGCAGCTTGACCTTGAGAAAGCTTGGGGTTGAATGACGGGGCCGTAAGATGTTTGGGGTTTGAGACTTTGCGCTTAACGGGTTTTGGGTTTAGGGGTTAATTAGAGGTTTGGGGTTTAATAAGAATTAAAAGATGAGTTTTTTGTCAGTGGTTCTCTAAGGGTTCCTGTAAGGGTTCCATATTGTTCTATAGTACAGGGGCTTCAAATTTTCAGAGTGGAGTCGTGCGTAACGCATAGAAAAGTTGCCACCAGGAATTCTAAGGCCAGGGAGTACGTAAATGTTTGCAATTGTTGAGGCTTCTGTATTGAGCTCTTTGGGGGTTCCGAGGTTTTGGAGGTGTAGGCTTTTTTTTCAGGGGTGTCGAGCTTTTGGAAGTGTCCGGCAACGGGTTTCGAGACTTTGGAAGTTTATGGTTGTTTTGCGATTCGAGGCTTGTAGTGTGGTGTTCAAGGAAATAAGCTTTGGTTTTCGGCTGTAGGTTGCAGGCCTTGAATCCGTCCTGATGGGGCACCAAAGGGGTCCTTACAGTATGCCATAGAGTGTAGAGGGTACAGGGGGTTTCGGATGTTTTTTGTTGTGGCGGAGGTTGTTTGCTTAGGGAAAGCCCTTTTCGGGGTGCCGGGCTACAGGCGGCCGCAGGCATGCCTTAAACCATAGAGGGATACCTGCTGAGATACGAGCAGCTCGAGAGCCTTCTCGAACCATCCCGAGCCTAGTATACTGTAGTGGGGCCTTAATGATTAGAAAAGGGTTTGGCGGTCCATCATCCTATGATTATAATCAGGAACCCCCCAAATAGTGTAGGTAATTATTTAGGCCCCTAAATTACTCTAGCACCACGGCCACGCCGCTTCGCCTTCGTGTTCATACACCTTCCTGAAGCCAAAAGGGTCTGAGCTAGCCACAGTAGACATTCTGGCCTTAAAAATTATAGACCGGTTGGGCAGAACCCTAATGCCCATACCCAAAAACCGAAAGGTGCTAGTTTGAGGTAATAACCCTAACCCTCAAACCTGCAAAACCTAAAGGTGCGAGTTTGAGGTAATAACCCGAGCCCCTTCAACCTATAACACGTCAAGGTGCGAGTTTAGGGTAATAGCCTATAGCCCTTATACCTATAAAACTAACCCTCAAACCTATAAAACTAACGTTCAAACCCTAAAAAAACTAACCCTCAAACCTATGAAACTAACCCTCAAAACCTGTAAAACTAACCCTCCATCCTATAAAAAACTTTCAAACCTAAAAAAACCCTCAATCCTATAAAACGTGAAGGTGCGAGTTTGGGGCTTCCTCAACTCCATCGACTGGGCGCGGGCTCGCATCTTAACGGCTCACGAGGACGCCGCTGTTTGGCTTAGGGTTTTGGGGTTAGTTCGGGTTTTGGGTTTGTTTTTGTTGGTTTTCGGGTGGGTTTAGGGGTTTAGGGTTTAGGGTAAATTAACCTGTTTGGGTTTAGGATTGAGAGTTCGGCAAGACAGAGGAGTGCAGCGGCCAGCATATGTGAAGTTTCTCAGAGCAAGCCCGTAGCTTACTTTAACCCTAAACCCTAAACCCTAAACCCTAAACCCTAAACCCTAAACCCTAAACCTTAATGAGCTAACCAGCTCACGGACCAAAGCCCGAGATTTTTGATGTCCTAAGCCACCAGCCGGGGTTGGGGTCGGGCCGCTGAGCACTCAACTCCCAACGCGAATCATCGGTTGGCCACAAGGCAGAACAGAAAAGATGCAACATGGGGTGTCGGGAGCACCACCCTAAACCATCAAGCCCCAAACCCTAGAGCCCAAACTTTCCCGTAAATCCTACCCCTGTGGGGAAGTTGCGTGGAGAGTGGGGATGTGCAGGAGCTGACAGATGCAGCAAGGAAGCTCAAGGAGCCACCTGGCGCGGCTCATGTTTTGGTTTGTGTCCTTCGCTCTTTATGTCCTAAACCTAAAACCTTGCCTAAACGCCCCAAACGTACGTAAAATAATGCCCACCACCTCTAAAAGGCTGTTATTCTGCATATCTTTGAGGTCCAGGTAAACACTAAACCCCCGTCGTTAGGTTTGACGGGCTCCTACTGTACTTGTTGGAGGTCTGATATTAAGTTATATCTCTGGTTCTTATTAGCTTTAGTAGGGAATAGGGGGCTGGGTTACAGGGACTACGATCCAGGCTATCATAGGGATCCGTTCCCCCAGTCGGAGTTCTTTTTCCTAAAGACCCAAGCCAGACTTTTTGGTGGTTATTTGGTTAAGGGGCTTAGGGTTTAGATTATAGGATCCTTAAAGGAGGGTGGCTCAAGGGGGGAAGGTCCTAGGGAGCTTTAGGGAACCTAAGGGAGTACTAGGGAGAATTGGGGATTATTGGGCTATAGACCCCCCTGAGAACCCCCTCCCTTAAGGATTCCATATTTAGAGTGTAGGGTTTGTTGGGTTTTAGGAGATTTAGAGCCTTGCTCCGAACCAACCAAAGTTTCAACAGCTGATGCATGCCTCAAGAGCCTAAACCAGACAATCCCGGGCTAAACTGCAGCAGTATGGAAGGAAACTTATCCCCAAGACGACATCTTTCAGATACTTCAGCCTCTTTATACATCAGGGGTATCTTGCTCTTGGGGGTTACTGTCAACGGGCATCCAACTGTGTAGAACTTACGATCTGAATAGTCGGCCCTCTAACATTCGACGCCTCTCTGGTTTCCGTCAGGTCCCCCAGTGTGCTGTGTCAGGCCTTGGTTGCTTTGATGTTTCCTTTTTCAACCCGTGCAACAAGCCCTGTTACCTATGCACAAGAAGAAAAGTGCTATGTTTGCCGACGCCATGACCAAAGACGTGGAGTAGTTATATCAAAGGCCTGGAATCGGACGGCCCCCAGTAGTAGCAGTTTATCGTAGGTGCCCGGGAGGGCTTGGATAAAGCTTTGAAGGATCTAACTCAGGCTTACTAAGTCGCGCAAGATGGAAGAGGTCAGGACGGCACTGATGGCGAGGCTTACTTGGAGGATCATGGGACTTAGTAAGTACGGTTATAAGTACCCTTATTGGGGTTATATAGTTACTAAGTCCCATGATCCTCCAAGTAGGAAAGCTCAAGCAGAGCAAGGCAGCTAGGTCCTTGATCCTCATCTACCAAGAGGAAGAAGAATTGAAAGGCCAAGTTTTGGATGGACCAGCGCTTCATGAGGACATGAGACCCTCACGCTTTTTTAACTGCCTTCCGATGGTACCCTTATCCAAAACCATACTGTCAGGAGTTGGGTTTAGGGCTCGGGCTAGCTCAACCTAAAACCCTAACCCCTGAACCTTAACCCTAAACCCCTAAACCCCTAAACCCAAGCCCTGAACCCCTAAACCCCTAAACCCCTAAACCCCTAAACCCCTAAACCCCTAAACCCCTGAACCCAAGCCCTAAACCCCTAAACCNNAAACCCTAAACCCTTAACCCTTTATAAGGGCTCCTAGAAGGTCGCCGAAGCTTGAGCAGCTCCTGGCTCTTGTCCTCTTCGTGGGCAACTACCTGACGCTCTTCAGAACGATAGGCTTGAAATTCAGCCGCTGTGGGGCTTAGGGGTTTAGGGTTCAGGGTTTAGGGTTTACGGTTTAGGGTTTCGGGTTCAGGGTTTAGGGTTTAATGTTTAGGGTTCAGGGTTTAGGGTTTCAGGTTTAGGGTTTAGGGTTTAGGGGGTGCTGATCGGTT